AGACAGTGAAATAATCTATGCACTACAGTTTATTACACATTTACATTTTATCACATTATAAGAACAAACTTGATACAAAGTATAGCATAATCAGCTTATTTGAGAACAGTTTTCTATTTCTTTCTAAAGACTTGAAAGCATTTAGCCTTTGTTTTTTGTCTGCCTTCATTCTGGCAGCACTAAATGTGACTAATTGCCCCCCATGTCACCTAATTGGTCCAGCTCTCTGTAATTTAATCTCAGAACAAACGCAGCTGTTCAGTGAAGATCTGAGGTTTGTTAGAGAACAAAATGATGGAGAAAACCTGCAGCTGCAGATATCAACTGCTCACCAGTCAACAGATGCATCAAGATGGTTCAGATCAAGTCATATCTATATGTTAACATGGTCCAATCTGAATCGAAGTGAGAATCTTGGGAAAGAGTTCAAATTTCACTCACACCAACACATCTAAGCTCATAAAGCTTGAAACGGTAAAAACAGAGGCAAAACGTTCAGTTTTCACGTTAGCAGACATACGGCTGCTCATGGAGGCTAAATACAAATGTACGCCACACTTTTCAGATGTTTTTATGGACGTTTCTGTCAATCATCATTTCCTTCTACTTCATATTTATCCATCACAACTGGCTCTCCATTGACCATAACATTACACAAGTTGAAATGACTTAATGAAAACAAGAAATTATGAAAAAACTAGTTCTTTGGTGAAAAGTTGTGCTGAGGTTTTTCAGTCATGTTGAAATATGTGTATTCCACAAAACTGAAATGGAAATACTTTCACATCATGCCCGTTTGTATCCAGCAGCAACATCCCACAGTTCATCAAAAGTTAAATTTGTCTTTTGAAAGCATCAAATTTGTAGCTTTTCCATAAAATTACCAACTGCAATTTCCCTGAAATGCTGCAGACGTTGCTCCAACGCTTTGATAGATGGATGGATAGATAGATGGATGGATGGATAGATGGATAGATGGATGGATAGATAGATGGATGGATGGATAGATGGATAGATGGATGGATAGATGGATGGATAGATGGATAGATGGATAGATAGATAGATAGATAGATAGATAGATAGATAGATAGATAGATATTCTCCTGTAAGTCTTTACATCTGTTGCTTGTTGATGTGATTTTAAAAGTGCAGAATATAACTTTTATTTAAAGCATGTTTTTTTTCACAGACGTGAACAGACACACGTGACAGTTTCAACAAATATGTAAAAATATATTTTTTCATAAAAGATACAGTTTTAATATTTTTGTATATAATGTTAACACAAATAACTCTAAAAATGTTTTTTCAAGTTTTGTGCACATTTGTAATTGAAAAGCAGCTGCTTCCTGTTGGTCCATCACATAAAATCCCAGTAAAATACCAACAGAGGTTAACTGGCTGAAATGGGACAAAATATGTGAATACGTTTGAAAGGCAAACACCAAATCCTAACTGGTATTTTCTCACTGAGACGTAAATCTAACAACAGCACATAGTGAACTGACACAGCAGCCAGTGTCTTTGTTGCACAGCCACTTCCTGACAAAACAGATGAGGGTCCTTGCACTTAGCTGCACGACACACATTTACTGCACTTTGCAGTGCTAGAGTTCCTTCCCCAGGCAATGGCCCCATCAGGCCAGACAAGACGGCTGGGTGTTAAAGTGTGAGCCGGGTACATGGAATAACAACACGACCATCTGCCCTGGGAATGCACACATCCATCTTACTAAGCACAGGCAGGCTGGGAGGCAGAGGGACGCGGACAGAGAGGAAGCAGCAGGAAAAGGAGCAAAAATGGCCAAACGAGGCTTCATGTGCGCGGCGTTAGCAGCGTATGGGACCTGCAGCGGAGACGGTAAAAACAACTGCATATGCTGGAGATAAAATATCACAGTATGTTTACAGCAGTTGAGCTGCATGGATCTCAGGAGGATAAGAGTAAGCAGCGTTTTTAATCTGATATTCATCATTTATTAGAGCATCTGCAGAACAGAACGCCACTCTCCTTTATTAAGCATGACATCAGCAGAGAGGACAGCAGTAAGTCCACTGTCCCGGCCTCATAACCATCTGGACCCGACTTAAGACACCGCCGTCAGCAATCTGGGGTCAGTGATATCATCTCGCATCTCCATTTGTTTTTATTTTTAGCCCATTTCCTCATCCCTGCATAATCAGCGTATATGGTCTCCCTGCAGTAACCATTCTGGTGCCTCTCTCTCCGATCCGCATTACGTTATCACACTGAGAGCTTTTAGCCGTGCGTCCAGCCATTAGCCTCAGACTGTAGGTAGCTGCAGCGCTGGGAGAGGCAGAGTGGAGGAGAGTGGCCTCCTGGTAGCTCCGGATGATGTCAGCCATGAAAGAAAAGTCTTTTTATAACGCCACCGTCCGCTCTGGTCACAATACGGCTCCTCAAGACGTGCAGTTCTGCTGTATGAAATGACCTTTAACTGTTTTCATTTTGGTTAAAAACTCATAGAAAGTGCTTTATGGTGGCGTGTGTCCTTGATTCAAAAGCTGTTAAGCTGCTCAAAGCTGTTCAGGAGAAAATGATTGCCAGACTGCTGGATGGTTACTAAGGCAGAGAGTCGGTTTAAAATGGGACTATTACTCTGAGAGGTCTGAAGGAACCAGCCTGCTTAGCTGCTTTGCAGCTGTTTTGTAAAACTATTTATGGTCTTTGAACTTTTCCACATTAAAACTTCAAACTTCTACATTTTAGAAAGACAGACTTTGTACCGGTGCTTGATTTCTGTAGAGTCCTTGAAACTGCTCAATATTCAAACTGCACAGTTTTGTAATAAAGTTTAGGCTTGATTAAAAGCCTAAACTTGAAAAATATCTACTGTTGAAACCAGATATTTTCATACACCTAATAAAAAGGCAGATATGTTTTTTTTCTCTCTGTTTGAAGTTGAATCAAACTAAAAGTTTCTTGTTTTAGGTCGGTCAGAATCCCCAAAATTATTTCTATTTGCTAAATGCCAGAAAACTAAACTGCTGCCCTCCAAACAAACGACTCCTCCTTCTTTACATGAGTATCGATCAATTATTCACATATCGGTGCTGGATTGCGAAAAGCAGCTTGACTACATTTCTTACGTGTCAGACCCACATGCATTTTGGAGGAGCTGAACGAGGAGCAGCCGGCTGCTGCCTCAGTGCATTATAAGCCTGGTGGGCCACCAGGCTTTACTTGTTTCCCCACCAGGCTTAGCATTGCTTTTTTATTTAAATTTTCTTTAAATGTTTGCATATTTTAAGATTTTAGTTGGTGTTCAGATATTAATCTTTCAATCTTCCAATAACACATAATTATCAAGGGATATTTTCAAATTTCCTGTCAACTTTAAACATTTTTGGCAGGCCTCTGGATGACCGACTGCCACCGGGGGTAGCAAGTTTTCTGGGGGAAACCTGGAACCTGCATCTGATCCTACGGTACCGACCGGGTTTGTTCCTGTTATGGGAAGAGCTGCAGGTAAACGGGTCAGAGTGCCGCTGTTTGCAGCAAAGCAATCAGCTCTGAGACAATAAGAACATACAATTCAGTTCTTTAAAAACTGAACTGTTTATTAGATACTATTAACATAATCTCAATCGAAACAAATCCCTATTTTTACAGTTAATTTGCTCAATTATGAATTTAAAATTTAACCCTTGTGCCTCCGAGGAGTTGGACCCCATTTGTTAAAATAAGGGTTAAAATAGGCCTAAATGTTGAATACTAATCTATATATCATCCAGTTTGTTGTATTTAAAGGACAAAATAAATCAAGCTGATACATTCACCACTCTAACTTAAATTTAAACTGTAGCCGTTCTAAAAACTGACTTTTAAACTAACCAAGGTCTCAGAGATGTGCATGAAAATGGCACTGAAAAAAGAACAAATGTGTTAGCAGAAATGTCATGTCTTCCAGTTCCAGTGTTAAATGTTCATTAGAATATAAAGTTTATTGATCTTTGAGAATGTGTTCTTGCACTATTATGCCCTTATTACCATTAAATTACTTTAAAATGACCTCAAAACAACAATATTATCATTTATCACAATAACTTCTGGGACAATTGTTCAGATAAATTTGTTTTTGTGACAGACCTACCAGTTATTTAATTCAATCATTTGAACAAAGTCTCTTTTTTTTGCCTGGTATCGAAATTAGTTTGATCTAAAAGGTGACAAAAAAAGCAAAACAACAGAATAAACGTTCATGCAGGTTTTCCACAGTAATCTATAAATTGGTCCTCGTTTGGTGCAACACGCTCAGTGAAGTTTGGTTAGTCCATCGAGGTCAAACCCTAAACTTTTCTGTATACTGAGTTTGTCTGAAGCGTACATCCAGCATAATGAGGCGGGAATATTCTGCGTGGGCGTCGGTTCTGGTGAGCGTGGCGGCAGTGGTTCTGTTACACAAGCAGCTGTGCCTGGTGGCTACTTGGGGAGTTCTAGTTTATTATTCCTTGTTTAGTCAACCTCTGTGGACTTTAGCAGTGCTTCTTATGCACTATAGAGTAAAGCTGCATGACACTGTTTAAAACGAGCTGTGCTTTACCATCACAGGCGAAATATTAAAGCTGAGCCCCAAGGTCAGAGGCAGCAGCCCTCCTTCCAGCCCGCGCCGCTGCAAGAGGCTCTTTTCTGATCCACTCCAATAACATTAAGTTATTAGTTGATTTCAGTGGATTTAATCAGCATAGTAATTCCTCTCCATGGAATGATGAGTCCCTCTCAAGAGCAGTTAGTAAGTCCACTATGCCTGCTGATTAGACACAAGCCCGCTGAAATAATTCATCAGAAAAGCACGAAAAATAATTTATCAAAAGTTCCTCTCCCAAAACCCGCGCAGGACCTTTGCTCCTAAATAATTAAACTCTGCAATTAGGCATCTTAGCATGCGCTCAGTGTGAGGCTGCATGCAATATTCATAACAGCACATAATTATGCAATATATTCACTGAAATAAGAGGCCATATATCCAAAGCAGGGCTGTCAAGAGGCGAGACGTTTTTATTTGGTTCATAGCATGGTTTTGTCTCGTCGATGAGCAGCCGGCCTCCAGAGATGGATGAGAACAAGGACGTCGGGCCTGTAGCACTCCTGCCATGTCTGCAGCTCTGAAACTGGGAAACACAAAGCAGCAGAGAGAAGGCACACTGAGCGGCCATGCCCTCGCTACAGGAAGCGCTGCTATCAAAGCCCTGGCATACCTCCGTGCTGCTCCGCTGACCACAGTCAACAACAGATGAAGAAGAAAAGAACAGGCATTAAATTAAAATGGAGCAGAGACTTGGTGCTGTCACAAGATGTGCTGTATGATGAATTATGTATAACGCTCTTCTCAGCATGGTAAAGAACTGTAAAGATAAAAACCAGGCCTGATGTTGCCTGGAGCAAATAAGCAACGGCTCCGGTCTGCAGTGGACGCTCTGCGGACCAGGTTGGCTTTCATGTGGAGGTGCGGTTCAAAGCCCAACGCAGAACAATCAAAGCTAATGTGTGGCTGGACGGCGGCGCGCTCGGTGCGGGCAGCAGGGACACACGCAGCCGGGCGGGCGCCTCTTCCACATCACAGCGGCTCGTTTTCCACACGCCGCCTTTGGAACTTATTATTTTTCACTGTGGAAAAGAGGCTTACTGCTGCTGGGAGCAGTGAACAATCGAAGGCCTCTTATGACACGTGTATGATGAATGAGAGGGAAAAGCCTCCACTTTCCACTAACTTTACTGTAGCTAACAAAGACGATCAGTGACAGATAACTGGTCCTTCCCTGCATAAAAACTGTATTGTTGGGAGAATAAAGCAGAACGAATGTTGAAGGCGGAAACGTAGTAGACCAACAACGCAGATCTGTACTGAAGCAGGGATCCTTTCATTAAACTGTTTTAGAGATTTTAAAGCTGTAATGATGTAAAAATGTGTTGGATTAACATAAAATACAGGCACAATATATGAGTATCATCTAAAACTTCATTTATTTCAGGATTCAATTTGAAATAAGAAACTTGTGTATTACCATAAATAGACTGACTACACACATTATAGGGAATAATAATACAATATGATATAAAGCTTTAAAAAAGTCGATTTTTACAAAATACTGCCCCTTTAAGAGCTAACTTAAACTCATCTTCGTTTTTGGCGCTCATCTTCCTCTTAACCAGTCCTCCTTAGATTAGAGTATTTGTACTGTGTGTCCGTCTGCTGGACTGCTGTCAGCTCAGCAGTCTTCCTCCTGGCTGTATAAACCATAACATGGCCATAAATATCATTTCAATCTCAAATGAAGGTGTTTACGAGGCGGGAACGGGAGGAGCGTGTGATGTGGAATGATGTGGAATTATGAATAAAATGAGAGCAATATCCAGGACTTAGAGGGTCCAAAGAGGAGAAATAAAAAAACTGAGGTTTTTAACTACTGGGAGGATGACTGGCAACCAGGAATAACTGATGAGAGGAACGCAGAACAGCTGATGAAATGAACAGGAAACCAAGGATCTGACGAAACCAAACACTGAAGAATAACACTGAAATAGGAAGAACTGCATATGCAACGTTAAAATAATATAAAAACAAATAAACAGGCAGATAACGATGCTTCTCTCATATTCTACATTTCTAGGAAAGTCAGATTTGAGTTTGACGTAAAATGCATCAGTCTGTGTAACAGAATCTGTTCAATATCTGAGTCACTTTTATTTGAATTAAATAAAACAATGTTTCGATTATTTTTCGCCTTGCAGAGTTTTGCTGTTTGATGCATGAGAGCTGCTGACATGTGAGACATTTTAGTCTAAAAGTTAAACTGATGAGATACTTACTGATAAAAATGATATTCTACGTACCTTTTAAATTGAAAGATGCACCAACCGAAACAGAAAGCATCACAATTTTATCAGTCCTGAAATGAGACAGAATTACAAAGAAAATGGATCAGAGAACAATTTAAAATAAAGTCCTGAGCAGCAGACTTATCAAGACTTTTTTAATATCAAGCTCTCCATTTCTGTAGCTTTTTTTTAATGATGGAGTTCTACCATCAGTATAATACAGATGTGATTAACATAAATAAGAGTTAAAGTCAAAGAGGCGTAAAGGTCGTCACTGGGGACTGCTCTCGGGTCCGCCGGGTGATTTACAACAACTTAATTTGACTGTGTGGAGTAATTTATCTGTGACAGAGGAAGTCGAGGAACTATCTGCATGTCGCGCACGCATACGGGGCAACAATATGCCATAACGGCACACATCTCACATCTACCCAATCAGTCAAGATGCTTTACAACTTCTGTCAGAGGCCTTAACAGTTCTCATAAATTATAGGGCCATTGTACCTGCTGCCAATAACTTTTGAAGGAGAACCTCAGCCAAACTGAATGAGCGGGAATGTATTGCTGTTACTGATGGGAGCTCCTCGAGCGAAGTGTAGGAAAAAAACACAGACCCAAAACTTTGAGGGTAGACAAAGCTTTGTTTTCACCCAGGTATGAAATATGACATAAATATTGGTATTTTCATGCCAAGCAGGCAGCAGCTCGCATTTCTTTCCACTTCGGCTCAGAGTTTCCAGTTGCACTGCAAAAACACAAAAGTATTTTTATCTAGTTTCTTAGCAAGACATAGGAGCTTTTTTAAGTCAATAACTCCTTGATATTAATTTTAAAATAATTAGTTCCACTGGCAGATTATTTCACCTATAAAAAGACATTTTCTCCATTTAAGAAATGAAATAATCCACCAGTAGAACTAGTTATTTTTTGTCAATATTAAGGAATTACTGACTTAAACTCCTATCTTGCTGAAAATTACCTGGAAGTTTTTGTTTGTACAAAAACATTTGCATATACTTTGTAAAGTTTTGTGTTTTTGCAGTGTAAACATTGTGTTTCATGTAGAGTTGCACCGATCCGATATTAATATCTGAATCTGTCCTGATATTGAAAAAAATTCTAGATCATATATCAGTGACAGTGTGAATGATCCATAAGGGCAGATCTATTCAGTCTAATTCTGTGCTTTGTGCTCTGAGTGATGTCATGCTTTATTATTTATTAAACATTACATTTAAAAATCCTCATCGTACTTTATGAAACATTTGAAAGATTTGTTGCAGTTTATTTCACGTTTGACCAAAGCATCAACCTACTGCTTTGTCAGTTTCAGTTTATGATTTATTTTATTTTTTTACTGCACTGACTGAACAAATTAAAGTTGTTTTTTCATGTTTGACCATGCTAGTGTTTAAAAATGAACGTTTAAATCAGTTCAGCTATTTTCTGTATCGAATCGGTATCAGCCGATACTAAACCTCAGATATCGTATCGGAAATGAGAAAATTAGATCCAGTCTCTAGTTTCATGTAGAAAACAGGAGAAATGAATGAAGCAAAACCCTTCAGGAGCCAAAAAGCAGCAAGATATTGTCATATTGACAAAAATGAGTTTGTATGTGAACCTCGGTTCTGCAAGCAATAACATGCAGTGATTTATCTGACACACACACACACACACACACATACACACACGCACACGCACACGTGTGCGCAGACCGCCCACTGATATTCTACTGGGAAATCATGACTAGTACCACAGAGTACAGGGCGGTATCTCAACCTGATGTCAATAAGACAATCAATTTATACAAATATCAGGAATGTGTAGCATGTAAACAGCACGATTGGGAGATGTTTAATACAAATTCCTGCCTGTTTCCCGTCTGCAGCTTTTTGATAGCATTCATGACGCTCAGAGGGATGGAAACCTGCGGGACAGAGCAGGAAGCAGCCAGTCCTGTTGTCACGCCAACAGAGCGGACATCGGATCGAAGAGCAGACGTTGATGACCGCCTGCAGCGCTTCACATCCAGCTCCATTTAAACACCACCGGTATTCTCACAGGAGATCTCAGAGAGGCTTGGAAACCACAGAGTGGGTCCGACAGACAAAGCGGGTGATTTGAAGGTAATTGGGATAAAATTGGCCTCAGTGACTGAAAGGCACAGAACGTTGAGTTTGCATTAATACAAAGTTCTTCCTCCAAACATAAGTTTTTACTTCAGATGTGCTTCTCTCTAGATCAGTTACATAAAAGAGAGACCATGCAGTTTTATTGCAGATAAGAAATCATAGAGAAGAAAAATGCTTTTCTTGTGAAAACCAAGTGTTTTTTTGTCATAGTTAAACTGCAAAAAGACAAAATCTTATCAAGTATTTCTAGTTTCTAGTGCAAATATCTTAAAACACCTAAGATACTAACTCATATAAGTAACTTTTCAGCACCACATAGGACCTTGTTACTTAAACAAAACATTCCTTAATATTGATAAAAAGTATCAATATTACTTGCCAGTGGTAAAATAATCGACCGCTGGCAGATTATTTAACATGTAACATGGGGAAAATGTCTTTTTATTACTGATCTGTCGGTGGAACTACAACTTTATTTTATCAATATTAAGGAATTACTAGTGAGATAACGGATAGTTTGCTGTTATCTCACTAGATACTAAACAAAAAATACTTGGCAATACTTTGTGTTTTTGCTGTGTATTTTTTTTATTTTCTCAGGTATTTCCAAATTTAAAAAAAAATAAAAAATAGGAGTAATTCAGGAATATCCCTGGCTGTCGGTATGTCAGGCCTTAATGTGCAGGTTCCTTTAACAGGAGGATAAATCAACTGAGAGTGGGATGCAGGGCAAGTCAAACAGATGGTCCCCATAAAGCCCGGTGTAAACTCTCCAGATGCTGAGCGGTAGCTGCAGCTCCTCTGACATGCAGAGGAATGGAGGTTCTGGTACCGCTGTGAGTGTTGGTGCTCTCTTTATGGCTGCATGAGGCTCTGTGGAGGGGAACCCAGGCCCCGCCACTGGAGCTGCTCCCAGGCCGTATGCTTTGATGAACCTACCCTTGAAGAAGCGGGACATCCGTGACCGTACTCCGAGCCCGGTTGACGCCTCCTTCTCCTCCTGCCTCTCCTGGAACACATAAATCACATTCTCATATCATCATCTAGTCATATTCCATGCATATGCAGCTCTAATCAGTAAATCTGTCAGCCTTCTCACCTTTCGGTGATATATCAGGTTCGTAATACTCTCCCCACATATGCAGTAAATCTGGAACAAAGCTCATGTTTCTTGAAATTCAAAGACAGAAGAGCAGAACTTCACTTGGAACAGAAACTGGGACTTGACTAGCAGCTCAGCCTTGAATCTCGGTCTGCTGAACGCATCAGCGCACCACAACACATCTTCCTCCTCTCACACTAAAACACTAAACCAGGCGGGAAACCAGAACTATTTCCTCCAGAACATCTCCGTAGAGTTCGGGGATGCAAACAATTAATCAACTTCTGGTTAATTGTTGACTTAATGGTTAATAGATTAAAATTTGTTCCAGTTGATTAACTAATAATGTCCACTTAGACGTTCTGTCGGTGTTGTAGTTTGGCCACCGTCCAGCAGAGGGCGCCGCTGGTCATTTAAGCAGAGCTAGTTGATGCAGAAACAAAGATGGCAGAGTCATACCAGAACAGGAAAGAGAAACGGTCCAAACAGAGTCCGGTTTGGGATGCTAAATGCACTTTATGCTGTTCTGTTTAGAAATATAAATGATAAATTCCTTAAGTTTCACCGTAACGGCGCTTCATTCAGCTGAGCTGCATGATGGAGCAGCGTCAACTTCCACGTCAAAAATTACTGATTTGCTTCGAAGGTGAGAATGTGATTACTACAATACTGTATTAGGGCCAATGTAGACAGAAAAAAATGAGTATATTCTGTCAAAAAAACTCAAAAATATTCTAGGAGAAACAGACTTTTCTGAGCTCCAAAGCTCAAAAATATGAAAGAAAAATCATTGAAATTTTGAGATTAATCTCAGAAATGTTCAAGAAAAATACTGCTTTCCAAAGTCAAACATTTGCTAGGAATCAATGATCAATTAATTGTTAGTTGATCAATAATATCAATCAACTTTATATTAACTAATTAATCAATAACCTGCATCTCTAGCAGTAACTGAGGTGTAGAGGAGAGCTGGGCTCTGTCAGCCAGGCGCTGACATTGTCTGCAGCCGATCATGGCTGACCTTGCATGGGGATGCTGCGTCCTTCGCCATGGCGACGCAGGCCGGGCAAGGCCGATCGTCATGGCGACTCAGGCTTCAGGGGATTAGCATCCAGGAAAACCAGAGGAAAGACAAATGAAATGGACGTGCAGGAATTGATCAATGCCTGGGTCAATAACGGTTCGATTTCTTCCTCACAAAATTCCTACGAAGAGGAAGACGATTGATCTGACATCTCCAGCTTCATTGGCATTTCTAACAATATTAATTAAGAAAAATGCTTAGCTGACTGGTAGATGGGTCAGCCAATACTGTTAAACCAAAACAAATGATAGTTGCAAACACAATGCTGCAACAAGAAGGTGCAAATCTACTCGTGTTCACATTTCCTGAAAGTGGACGATGTCTCCAACACAGATGGACGTCAGGAAATCAATCGGCACTTTAACCGACTCCAGAGGAAGCCTCCGGCGCCCGGCGACGGCCCGTCAGGCGCTCATAAGAAAAGGCCTGACGAATGAGCATCAAGCTCCGGCTCGTCATCTTTTCACTCTCTGTCACTGAGATTGGCCGCTCTAACTCTCGGCGGACATCTTGGCTTGGCAGAGACGCTGAATCTCGTTATTCTTTACTTGGCCCGGATCGCACAGGTCAATATCACGAGCACGGTGCCGGGGAGCTGTATGGAAATGCATTTCAATTCAATGCAATAAATCATTTAAAGCTCCGGCTGAAAATGTAATCATGTAATTGAATTTGGTCATCAATATCTACTATATACATGCGCGTATGCAGAGCACAGGGGGCATCTTGCGGGCGTATACGAGCGCCGGGTGGGAGGAAACGTGTCAGATCTCAGCAGGAAGAATGAGTCATGGCTCTGCAGTTAGGCCTCGTTATTATTCACACGCCTCTAAACGATGGGGCTGCTGACGGTGAGACGCCGACAGTCTGTTTAGCTCCAAATGAACAGGACGAGTCAAGTTTTAATATCACCAGCATTACTGTGGGTCTGCCTGCTAAGATGACATTAATTCCCAATGAAAAGTAAAGATATTTCTTTCAAAATCCACTTTGTATGGAGCAAGTGTGTCCAAAGTTTTTGTAGCAGAAGCCAAATGCAGGTCAAAAAGTTTTATTGAGGGTTTTGCTGATTGGCATTTTTGGTCAATCAACAATAATGTAGGCATGAAAATATTTATAAAATAAAAATTTATAAAATAGTCTGATTTTTCTGTGTAGGAATTGAATGTGTAAACCGTTGTAGGTCCAGAACTTCAAAAGGGTTTTGCAAGTTTTCCTTGTTGAAAGAAAGCCAACCACTTTGCTAAATTATTTTGGGCTTGATTGAAGAAAACTGGAAAATACTTAGTCTATTTTTAGCAATAAAAATAACATGATTAGGTCACTCTTCTTTTGAAAACTTGCTGTATTCAGCTAAGTTTTAATAATGTGATTAAAATCAGATTTTAGTGTGAATCTGGTCTCAATCTGAGAAAAGAGTCAGATTCTTCTCTTTTTAATGACCCCCTTTTATTTTACTTTTGTAGATTTGTACCTCTTTCATTTAAGCAAAACAGGAGAAAAACATTTGCTTGCTCTGTTTGCACTTTCCTCCTTAAAAGAGACACTTTTCAGTTTTTTATCTTCTAAAGATGTTTATTTTTTTACTTGAAGGTCTGTTGGATTAAATCCTGATAAAAGTGTGTGAGTGTAACATGACAAAATATGAAACAATTCAAGGTTTGAGAATAAGTTTATAAGGCTTGTGTCTCCCGAAAAACAGTCTTCAGGATCTCAGCTTGTCCAGCTTCTCCTTTACGTCCGTCTCATTTAGCTAAAAGATGGAGGAAAATCTGTCAGGAAAGGAAACAATCACAAACAGTCGCTGAGTCTGTAAACAGATAATTATAATTATTATTATTATTATTATTATTGTTTTCTACCATCTGATGGTCATGCCCTGTAATCCATAGTCAGTCTAAATCAGCAACATTCTTGTGAGCCTAAAAGTAATAATTGATGAATTAAGGTATTGATGAGGTCTTTAACCCGGGTCATAACTGGCCCCCGAAGTCAATAATTATCCCAAACAGAATATCTTTATTGCAAAAGTGCACACAGCAGCAAAAATCATCACCTCACCAAAACATCCCCCTGCGGTGTAATTGCCACTGCTTGAAATTATAGTTTTCATTAAAAAGAACTGTTCATGGTTATTGATTGCTTAAATAAGACTCAATATCTTCTCATTTTCAAAGCTGAATGAATTTGCGGGGAATAGTAATATCACCCAACTATTGTTAGCATCCATCACGGCGCGGCGCGGCGCCGCTGCTGTCCCTGGAGGATTATTAGGGTAAAATAAGTGTATTTAAATGAGTGTAATTTCTGGGAAGCAGAGATCTGTGCAAAAACATCTGCATGCTCGGCTCGGCCGCGCTTCATCACCGTGACCACGCACAATAACCATAACAAAGGACACAAATCAGGTGCAGAGCAGGATCAGCCTCTACCTTTCCTGTGGCTCCATTCAATGTACCAAACCTGACTCTCTGCAAACAAAAATATATCTAGCTCTCACAATCTAATCTGCCTGTCAGAGGCGCACTCTGCTGACTTCCCTTGTCCTTAAGAATAGATTTTCCGGTAATAATACACAGAGAGAGCCACTGAGGCAAAATAAACAGGTTATGCACGTATTAGAGGAACCGTGGTTGCTGGGAACAGGTCTGCATGACCCTCACACAACGAGGAAAATGATGATTACCATAATTACTGGTTAGGCCATTTTCATGTGACCTAATTCCAGAGCAAATGAGAAAATTGGACATAATAATGAAGTGAAAATGAACTGAATGTGAGACAGAACTACATAAAACTTATTATAAAGAGTACTCACCTGTTTCTTGCAACCTGCAGCCTTAGTTTTCTCTGGACTCGAGGCGTCTAAACTCTTCCTGTCTGCAGTGCTGTCAGAGGCTCCGTGCTCTTCTTCAACCGTTTTCGCTTCAACCTGCTCAGAGGGGAAAACATGAGAGCCTCCATGGTACACACTGTGCCTCGCAACAGAAATAGACCAACAGTGAGCAGAGAGCAACTGCAAAGTGGAAGGAAAATGACACGTGGCTTTCCAAACTTTTACAAAACTTTTACAAATTGACATCTAAAGAGTGTTCATTTAAATTCAGCCTGACAGAGTCAGAACTCTGGTTTGTGTCTCTACCAGCCTGGCAGATGGAGACGATGAATGTTTTCACCATTCTGCTTTACAAAACAGCTCAAACTCATTCAGATTCAATGGAGGAAATCGGTGAACATCAATTTCCAGATTCCTGTTTCCATCCAAATGTGATGCGAATTTTGAGTGAACTTTTAAAATGTTAAAAATAATGGAGAAAGTTTCTGGAATATGTTGCTATCATGCATGCTGCCATTGTCCCATGTTAGCTATTATTCACGCTTATCTCTCATGCCTGTTGTTGCTTTCAGACATTTTATTGCAGACATCCAGACAGACACCAACAACAGAAACAGCTGATCATTTGAGGTGAATGTTTGCTACATCAGAACATATTCAGGAAATGTTTCCCTCTCCCCTTCAGCACATTAAATCTTTTTTGGAAAAGTCAAAAACCACCTAAATTGAACAGAAGAAAATTTTAGAATGTTGACATTTTCAGTAAGCGCCAATCTACTTTTTTCACTTCCAATACCGATATACAGAAAAACATCTTTAGTTTCCATCAAGTTTTCTTTAGTGCAGTTCTTAAGATACACACAAAAAGCTTTGATGGAAACACAGCTGTTGTTTCAAACACATGCCGCACTTTTCAAAGAACCGAGGGTCATTTTCCTTCCACTTTACAATCATGCACCGCTTTGCGTTGGTCTAACGTATGAAATCCCAACAGCATACACAGTTTATGGCTGTAATGTGAAAAAATATGAAGAACAGAAATCAGTGGGTGTGTTCTTGCATGTCACCCTCCTTTACTCAGCTGCACTTTCTGCAGTTTTTCTGTTTATGCAGCGTGTTCTAGTGAGCATTTATGAGTCTGAGTGTAAACATAAAATCAAGTCAGGCGTTCTCACCCAGGAAGGTAAAGCTTAGCGGGGAGAACATAAACAGCTTGTCATAATGATGAATTATCATCTGACTCCATGAACTAAAAAACATAGTTTTCCAGCTGCTGACATGCTGTCAGGCTGAATAATTCAGCATGTCTGCGTTTCCTTCGCAGAGCCGATATCTGTGCCAACATTTTGTCTTTAGGAATCAGAGCTAACTCCCATGTGGTAAACAGAGCAACCTGAATGCTAACGCGCTCATTAGGTGGCAGCTGAGTGGGATTACGTCTCACCTGATCAATCGGCAGGTCCACCTTCAGGTGGGGGTCTTCCTGCACCTCCGCCGCGCCCTCCACCTCCCTTCTTTTGTTTTTTGCATTAAATACGCTGTCGGCTGAGGAAAAAGGGATTAATCACAATTACTTGTCTGCCTTCTCGTTTTACCGTTTCCCCGTCCATCCCTCTCTGCCCCGTTCCTTTTTTTTCCTCTCCTGCTCAACTTCGCAGGAGATCAATACTGCTGTTGAGCCATTTATTTATTTAGAGAGGAAGGACCAGGATATAGGCCATCGCTGTGAATCTTTCCCCCCGTCTACAATCCTTCCACAGACGGGAAGCGTTCCCGAGTTAGTCGAGATTTAGCTCATTCTGTTACATTAAACAGATTTTCTCCTGTAAACAAATTCCTTTTCTGGCAGCAGCTGCTAAAACTGATCCAGGGTGTAATTTTAATAATGAAACACGCTGCTGAACTGCCTTAGGTGATTTCATTTTAATAATAAATAACCGCGGTTGTTAGAATTCACAGAGATGAGACTAAAAACTGTACAGAACAATACTTTGAGATCTGCTTTTTGTTGTATTTTTCATTTAAACATTATTTTTAGATCTGTTTCCAGATTAAATTCACAAAAACAACAGAATGAAAGAGAAGCAGACGTGTCTGATCCTTCACCAGGTGACGGTACCGAGGAGCTGCCGGTGTTTCTAAGGATCTAATGGAGTGAATCAGTAATGAGCAAAATGCCAAATTTAGCTCCTGGTAGTGGAGTTTATAAGGAGGAAACTACAAGAGGTATTATGAGGTAATGGTAAACCATTTTGGTATTATCTGATGGAAATGGGACTTTTTCCTTTCATTACATTTCAGAGAATTTAGGCCCCATTATTATACACTGCATGACCAAAAAACAAGTCGCCACCCGGATTTAACCAGGCAAATGGCTGCTGCCTGGGTGATTATGTTTTATTTAACACCCACTGATGCAATGAGCAGCAGCCCTGTGGAAAAGATGTTTGTCTGTTTAAGAAAGGTCAAAATATCGGCTTCTAAAAAGATTATTGAAACTCCTTAAATTAGGCTGCACATTGTCTGACGCATTATTAAAAACTGTTAGGAAAGTTGGGAACCATCAACGTCAAGGAAGAAATCATGGAAAGGAAAACCTTAGAGATCACGACCAGCGATCACCACGTCGTCATGGTAAATTATACAAGTAATAATTGAGAAAAATACAAATTTTGTTGTTTTGACACAATTTTCACGTAATATAATGATAACAGCATAAAAAACCAAGTTCACCCTCTCAAAGACTAACTTTAATTCTGTAAAGAACATCTAACCCTGGAAATAAAAGACATTTTAAAAAACACAACAAACAAAAAGGGAAAGAACTATTGCTGCGCTTCATTTGACTGCACTTATAGATTTGTAATGTTTGTTTGGTTATTTGTTCAGGCCACCATGACGTCACCTTCATCTGGATCAACTCCAGCCTCCTGCTCCGACTCACAGGAAAAGGTTTTGTTCTACATGCCTCAGCAGAGGTCTGACTTTATTAATCCCTTCATAGCCTCAGTGAATCTGTTTACTGGAACAGGGATCATGGCCCACAGCAGCATCCAGCCTCCACCGTGTTGAACCACAGTGAAGGTTCAACACGGTGGTTCTGATCAAGCTCCAGAACCACAGACTGAAAGAGCATCATGATCCATGATGCTCTCCTGCATCATGGATCATTTTCTATGACTTCAGCTTGATGAAGGTTTTTACTAACTTTCTTTTTTGCTTTCATTAGTTTTTTTTTTGTTTTTTTGTCCAGTTGCACAAACACAGCATCTTTATTTTCATCTCCAACATTTCTGACTTCACATTAGTTTATTTGAAGTGTTATCAGGAATTGTATTTTGTTTTCAAATTTGGTTTTGAAAATTGGACATCCATATAATTAAATAACAATGTTTTCCTGACCATGATAAAAACTTGACTGGAAAATTTTAACACATAAATTAAAGGTTAACAGATGCAGTTCAGTTAACAGCAGAGCTAATTTTTCTTCTTTTGCATCTTTGCTGACTTTGAAAATATTTAGCACACTTAGATTCCCCTAAATTCATTTTAGGGAGATTCTAGACCTTTACATTTTACTTTGCTGCTTTGCAAACTTTTAGTTTAATGAAGTTCCACATCCGTGTTAAATTTTGATTATCAGCTCTGTATGATCTTCATGCATAAGATAAAATTTGGGTAAAACATTTTGGTAACACTTTATTTGAAGGGGTGAGCATAAGACTGACATAACATCTGTTATCAACATAAAGAAGTCTGTATGAATGTTTATGACAGTGTCATGAAGTGTCATTCGGTAAATAATGGCACAGTCTTATTCACACCCCGTCAAATAAAGTGTTACCAACATTTTAGACAAGCTGCTTAATGAATGTTTCTGCTTTAGCGACTTTCTGCATTTGGTGTTTTTATTATTTATAAATTATAACAACACTGTTCCTTCAATTCCATGACAACCAAAACCTTTAAACTACCAGAAGTTATTTCTTTTACATCATAGTGAGAAAAAAAAAACATATTTACTTCTTATTAAAACCAGCTTAGTATTACCAACGTTTTATTAATTCCTGAGAAAATGAAAACATTTCATATCTCGAACAAGATTTTTGGGATATATTTCCCATAAGATGGCCTGATTGAATTCATCTATGATTTAAGCTTCCTTAACAGCGTTTGAAGCCTCATTCTGTTTAATATTCACCAGGAAAAGTCGTGTTAATTTCAAACAGTGATGAGATATGTTCTGTTTGGACCCACAGAACAGGTTGGGAATCCAAAGAAACCTCCTTCACCTTTCAGAGGATTTATTTTTCTGTCCTCCCTGCACACCAGATGAGTGTCTTCTTACTCACACACACACAGAGAAAAGCACAGTGATGCACAGCCATCTGGACACGTGCAAAAATGAAACCCATAATATAAATTTGTAATCAAAAGGCAGCAGGTTTCTTTAAGTATAATCACAGTGAAGAAGATTGTGATGAAGGAACAAACACAGAGGAAGAGGAGTCTGGAGAGCAAAGCGTTAGGAGAAACATTGCTAGTGAAAAGCTCTACTTGCCTCCTGCTGTGACGCGTGCTGGTTTTCTGGACACCTTCCTCTGCTGTTTGACTCGCTCCGTCTTGGCTGCATGTTCCTTCATCTTGCCCCCGACTGTGAGCTCAAGGTCCTCTCTATCGCATACCTGAGCACACAGCGAAGGGACCAGACAGCAGAAAACATGAGACCAGAATAAATCACATTTCCTCTGACTTCTCTCTGACTTGTCTTTGAAATTTTGTTGGCAAAACAGCAGAAGCTAAATCAGTTTGTGTAAATTGACAAAGGAAAAATTAAACTGTCGTCCATCCTAACATTAAATTGTGGCTGAAAAGCAGCAGGTGGAAAGAAATCCAAGAAAAGATGTTTATTGATGTCTGCATGTGGTTTAAAGGTGATGAAATGGGTTAAATTGGCATCACGTCTGATTTTTTGTTTTGGTTGAATTTTGACAGGACATACAGACCGATGGGCTATTTTCATCCTTGGTCAACCTGAAATAGCCATGAAAATGTCTCTGGGCTTCTAGTGGAGAAACAGCGAAGCAACGCAAAACTCTGAATTATAAAGTAAAAAAAACCAAGAAAGACACTTTGCTCCCCTGCCTACTTGAGCTGGTAGCCTGATTCTATGATTCAGCCATTAACACAGCTCTCAGAATGAAATGATTTCTAAAAATATTTAATTTCCTATTTTCTTAAGCTGCTATTTCATTGTATTTTATTAAAACTGAACCTATTCTCCTATTTGTGGATTTTTATGTGAAACGTAACAACTAACAAAGAAGCTAGTTGTGCTAGTTGAACTAGTCAGAAACAGTTCTGCTAATGCTAACATGGTATTTAGCAGAAGCTAATGCTAAAGCGCTAAATTCAACCATGTTGATATCCACCATGTGTCGGCGACACGACAGCGAATCATTCTGGGTACAGAATCTTCACCCATGAAAACCAACCGATAACCAAAACTTCAACACTTACTGAATGTTTACAAAACAGCCAAGTAAATTAATGTTTTAGAGTTTATCCTGGAAAATAATTTAGAGGAAGCTAAGTGCGCTAAATGTTTTCAAAGTTAGCATCAACGCTGCACATAAAAACGAGCAGAGGTGTGCCCACAACTGAGCTAAAACATATTTAACGTTATTTTGTTTCTTTGCAGTTCTGGTTATTAACTATTCAACTTTAAACATGGTGTAGTTATAATCCTGTATGGACGTTTATCGATTTGTTCCGACAAGCAGACTGATTTGTGCTGTATTTTTTATTTTTTACTAATAGTCGACAGGAAGGAAATGTGTTACTGTGACTCCAAAAAGTGATACTTACCAGCAGAAAGTCACATACGTTCATATTTCATGAGTGAATTGGCCCAAATCAGGATAGGAAGCAAAATCAAAAGGAGCAATTTTTAGCTGGATGGATGGAAAAGAAACTTTTAGACAATTTAATAAGGAATCAAGTCTGAAAACTTATTCAGACTGAGAACATTTTTTAAGTTACATTAGGGCTTTTTTGCATTTTCCTTTACCCTTAGTGTTTCATGGGCTGACATGTTCTACTGTTATTGAATTCCTCTGGTTTCAATACATCACAAACACTCAACCTATCAATCACCTGGGAGTGTGGCAAACAAATCATTTATTGATGGAATGGGGCAGGCGTGAATTTCTAACCGCATTTGTCTTATTTATCAAACCAGATCAAACAATGAAAATCCAAACAAGCTTAAAGGGAAAAGAGAGGGAGTTGCACGGAATAACTTATTCCTCAGCAGCAGACGGCAGAAGGTTATTGATGGAGGGGTAGAGCAAAACAAAACACAGAAAAGGAGAGGAGGGGGTTGGGAGTGAGCCGCACAGTGGGAGAGTGAAGGAGTGAGAGAGGAGGAGAGGAAAAGCAGGGAGAGTTCAGTCTGATGTTCAGACAGCAGGGTACACATCTGAATTAATGCTTCCACAAAAGACAGTTTTCTCCTTGCAGGCTCCTCTTCCCCTCTGTAGGTAGCGAGGTGAGGGATGTCTCCCTTACCCACTGAAACGCGGTGAGCTAGCTAACTCTGCGTTTCAGCAGCGGGGTCCCTGAGCTGGCTCAGGGGCCGCTGCACTGATCTCCACCAGAATACACTCCTGGCTCTGCTGTTTGCAAGCTCACTAACATGGAGTCTGGGGAGCAGCCCAGTTGCTTCTTCACTTGTTTGCCTGCTTTAATGCGGAGGCAACGTCTGTTGATATTCCTTTGAATTCCTGCAGCCGTTAGTGGACTCAGGAAGAGAAGTAGAACAACAAAAAGAAGATTGAGGTTTGCTTTGTGTATTTAGTGAAGAAGAGTTGAAATGGAGTTCATGCTGTAGGTTTGCAGTGGGGGGGTTTGAGGTAAGAGGAGCCATTTTTCATATTCACTACATCAAGGGAACCTTAGTTTGATCGCCAGCTCATATACCTGATATTTTGATAATATAGCATGTCTAAAAAAGTTGTTGTATCCCTAAGCTTCCAGTTCTCTCCATCAGACACATACACACACACACACACACACACACACACACACATTTCATCCTGACCCTCCAACTTGACCCCACGCTCTCTGAACCCCCTTCCCTAAATAAGTCACTTTTTTCCCATCGAGCTCAGCATCGTGGGCTTGGGAAAGCACTAAAACTGGATCCTTGGCAAGTTCAGACTCTAAGAACCCAAACAGGAGATCAGAGAACCGTCCGGGTTTCTAACCTCAGCTCCTCACTGACTAACGTGAGACAACATCACCATGAAGCTCCGAGTCAAATCACATCTGGCCAATCAAATATGGAACAGCTTGTTTTGCTTTCTGACAGCCTGGTGATGAGATGTAAATAGATACCATTTAAATCAACACTGAATCAGAGCTCATCACTCAGGGAGAGCGCTGGGAAGGGGAAAAACCCAGAGCAGATCTGGGAAAGCAGACGCACAAGTGGAGGCGCGTCGGTGGAAAAGCTGAGGTCATGCAGCCGGCCTCTCTTCTGGGTTACATGTCTGCAGCTCCGGGTCCGGTGGGAGCAGACGACGTTGTGTGTCAGGAGGCCCCAGCCTGTACCAGACTTAGTACAAACAGGGTCTCTGGGAGGGCAGAGAGGAAAGCAATTTGTGGCCCTCTCAAGTAGCAGAGAACAGGAGTCAACGAGAGGACAGGGTGATCCGATAGCCGGGGGATAACGGAGGCCCCAAACAACCGGGCCGACCGGCCTCCAGCCGAGGCGGCTGTGGGATCGGTGGGAGCCACTCCCAGGGCTGCTTCACAGTTAGCAGACATGCTGGCAGCAGCGCGGAGGCACCGCTTCCCTCAGGGCCGCGCTGCTTCCCCTCACCGCTGAAATCATCCGCCAGGAGCCGAGGAATGGGGAGCAGCACTAAAGTGTCGCCGATGACAGAAAGTCTGGACAGTCCAGTCAGGAAACCTCTGTGGATTATTTTTACAACATGCTTCAGGTACATTATGATTACTATTGCATGAAGTAATGGGCAAGGATTATACCCATGATTCCCACGTCTCTCTGCCCGGCTTTCTAGCCAGGTTTTAAAGGAACCTGTTATGTTCCTTTAAAACAAGCTGGGATAAGTCTACAAAACATGTTCTTTACGTTTTTCACCTCAGTTCTGCATAGTATTCAGAATGAGCCATTTTAGGGCTCTGTCACTTTTATGCAAATTATCTGCTACTGGCCACGCCCCCGCTGTGCCCCACAACTCAAAGTTTGTACTAATACTTTATACAAATGGCTGCAATTATACAACTACACATCTTTGAAAAGCAGAAGTAGAGCCTCCTGCACAACCAACAAGAACACAGGAAGTGGTTTCTGAATGGTAAGTTGACAACAAAACAGTCCAGCAGTAATTCTTGGTGGCATAGATCCGACCAGGTGTCGGAGTTATCTGAACACCATGATAAGAATCTCCTGTTGGTCACATCCCAACGTTGCTCTATTGGATTGAGTTTTGGTGACAGTGGAGGCATGTGCAGTTCAGCAAATTCATTGTCATAGTTTGAGCTTCGTGACATGAAGCATCAAAAGATGGGAACACTCTCCTGGGAACCAGCAACACTCGGGTGTTTGATGTTTAAGCTGTGCTTAGTTGGTACTAAAGGGCAAAGAGTGACATCATCACTATCGCCTGAACAGGAGGGATCCGTACTTTCATGATGTTTATGCCAAATGTTGACCTTCTCGTCTGAATGTTGAACTGATATCAACTCATCAGATGTTTGAGTCTCTTACTGTCCAGTTCTGATTGATTTGTGGGCTTGCTAGCTTTAGCTTTCTGCATTTAGCTGACAGGAGCGGCGCTCGGTGTGGTTTTCTGCTGTTGTAGCCCAACTGCTTCAAGGTTCAGCCTGTTGTACATTCAGAAATTTATCTCCACATTCTCCTCTGACCTCTGACACCAACAAGGCATTGGTTTCTGCACAACTGTTCAGTGGATTTTCTCTCTTTTCAGACCATTCTCTAATCTGAGTTGTTGAGAAGTTTCCAGTAGATCCCATCCTGTCTGTCCCTGAAATCAGCTTTCTTCCCCTTCCTGATGCTCACTGAGCTTCAGCATTTTGTCTTCACCATGTCTACATAAACACAGTGAGCTGCTGCCGTTGCAATAAGCTATTTATCAATTAAGCGCATAAATTGATAAATTAAAATGAGCTCAATAATTTCAAATCTGATGAGTTTTTTAAGGGAATCCTTATTTACAGCCAACCCGTTTTATTAATGGTTTTGGTTGGTTTTGGGTTTTAATTTCCATTTTTTAAAACCATTTTCAAACTGTTTTTACATGTTTTTCTACAATTATTATTATTTGAAAGCTATCAAGAGAAAAACAAAGTGATGAAATAGATAAACTTTTCTGTGATTTGTACAATTCAAAAAGGGAAACTCTTATTATCATGTTTTATTTCGAAAATCTTCCAGTTGCAGTGTTACGTATTCCTTCCTAAATTAAATAGTTTTTGAAATGACAAACTTGCATTATTATTCCATTATCAATATAGTTCTTAAAATTGTCTCAAAATGATAATATTATTGTTTATTCTAATAATTACTGGGAAAATCTATTGTGATTGGACAACTTACTATTCATGTGCTGTTTAACATCAGTTTAAAGCAAAGTCTGACTAGTAGGTTAAACTCCTGATGCTATTCTCTGCTCTCCATCTGCATTTCTCTCTTTTTTGTACTTCACATCTCCACTCATTCAAGTCAAGTGAAACATGTTGGCCTTTTGAAAATTAACGTTCCACCAATCGCCCATCATTCCTGCAGAGACGGTCAGAGCAGGACAGACGGCGTCTCTGTGCCGTCAGGCTGCAAGGTTACATTTAACACAGCCCCAGTGAGCATGTTTAAGGGATGCTTTTACTGGCATTTCCAGCCAGACTGCTGTTGTTTTGTGAGGTCAAAGTGAAATTAACGATAGATGTGACCCTATAAAGGGCTGTGTAATCAGCAAGCTAAACAAGTGACAGATCAGGGGCGAGCAAGTCATTTTTGCTGCATGCATTTTTCCCCTATGGAAGATTCTTATTAACCCAGCAGCTCAAGCTTGCAGATTCATGAGACACGGAGAGGAGAGAAGGAAAATGCAGCCGCACCATGCCTGCTGAGTGTTGCTCCAGTGAAATCACAGCCATAGATCTGTCTCTGTCTCCACCTACTGGCAACAGGTGAAACAGCAACAACTTCCCTCTGAGCTCTGGGTTATTTTATGAGTTTATTTTGATGACAAAGTTATTTTCATTGATTATTTTCTGCTTGGACGGTTGCTAACATGATGAAGAGGTCTTACTACAGCGCCTACACTTCAGCTCATTCTAATACACCGCTAATATCAATCCATATATCTGAACAGAAAGCCATTCAACAGAAGGTACTGCTACAGATAAGGGCAGGGGGTATTTTTCTCCATCTAATAAAATTGGCACCTGCAACAGCCTTGCCATCTTTCATGGTTAGAAAAATCAGATGTCAGACGCATCTCTCACAGGAAGGAGGGGCCTTGTGCGCCGAAACCTGCTGACTGGGCATGTTTTCATCTTCACCATCTGATTTGGTGTTCTTTTCTGGCCCACAGCAGAGCAAATTCTCATATGGATTCAAAACATTTCACTGCCTACTTAATCACAAAACAAATTGTCCTGGTTCTAGTTTCGAATGGGATTTTTTTTCTCCCCCCTAGCAAGCAAAGTCCCACGGCTGCATGCAGCATGATCCAAGGCTCAGCGCACTTGATCAAGTGGACCAGCCTGTCTTTCTTGGGGATTACCCATCAAAGTGCAAAGCGATGGTAACTCGATGCTTTCTGCAGACAGTGATTGATGATGGTTCTGTTTCATAACGAATCGCGCCCCCACAAGAAGTCGCGCACAAGTGGGAAATGTTAATTGAAATGCTTTGTGTGCAAAGGGTTGTGATTTTACCAAGGTGTTACAGCAGTAAACTGCAGGCAGACGTGGGGGGAGACTGTATCAGCTTCACGTTTTATGAGAAACCGAACAACCTGATGGCAAACTGGAGTTGACTTTGAAGTGGGATAACTCACCGTATTATTTACAGGTCTTTTGTTTCGAGCAGATAGCAGGAGAGCTTTGCTGCAGGGGCAAAAGGAAAAATGTTACTCTTTTCTTTTCACAACAAATCTATAATCTAGTGCTGCTGTTTTTTTTATTTTGTTGTTCTTTTTTTCAGTTGTGGAAAAACAACCTCTATCAATTTGCTAGCAAAAGACTGGAGAAGCACCAAGAAATCAGAATCTGACTTTTTCAGACTCTTATAAATGTAAATTATTTCATACACTGCAAAAACACAAACTCGTGATGATTCAGTTGAATCATTTTTCTTCACTAAATTTCAGCAGAGAACTCACCGTTCATATGGGAGAGGTTTGAACTTTTCAGGTCCAACAGCAACATAATGCTGGTTGTTCTCCAGTTCAGAAGATCCGCTGACAGGACGACCGTCTAACCGGCAAAGCCTGGAAAGTTTTACAAAAGTAAATAAATAAATTATATACCACAAATCACACCAGTTTTAACATTCAGGTCCAGCAATAAGACACTGTTTGACTAAAGGTAGTCATTCTTATTTTAGTGACTAAAGAGTCTCAAACATGAGTCACCAAATCTGATCCAAGCCTTTTAATGAAAAGTTAAGTGGAAGGAAAAAAGAGGAAGAGGTACACTAACAATATAAATAATCACAGCCTGGAGAGAATGTGAAGCAAAAAGTATTAAATCTGAACCCTACCACCCTGCCCTGTTTACTCTGGTTGTCTTCAAAGACTCCTGGTGTTTAATTGTTGTCAATTATTTTCTTTTTGTTTTCAAATCCATACAAGGTTGTCACTCCAATCTTTTTGCAAAAGGTATAAACACCTTTATGGAAGACATATGAGTAAACTCAGGTAGGTACAGAAAAGAGCCAGAGAAATATTAGCAGATGTATTTAATAAAATGTTTTACACCTTTTTTGCTGTCACCAAAGCAAAAGCTTGTTTTTGTTTGAATCAATAAAACAATAAAACAGAAAAATGTAGAAAACTAATACTGAGAAATTATCAAGTGAGCTTCACTGAGTTTACAGAAAAGTCTGCTGAGTAGCTTCAAATTGTGTTGCAGCAACACGTTGAGCACTTCAGTCAACTTTTTTTAATAGAACAAAATTCATAATGCAGTAACAACAAAAAGAAAATGTGCCTCTTGTCTCTCTTCACACTCGTTTAAGTCACAGTGATGATTGATTTTACTTGTAAACAGCCCCGGTGCGAAGCTCCACTTTGTGCGTCACCATGGTTAAAACACGGTCCCAGCTTTTGAGAGTGTGCTTTGGGATCCGGACCCGAGCCGGAGGAATCCGCAGCTCTCCGTTGCTGAAGACGCTGTAAAAGAAAAACCCCTGAAATACGCTACCAGTCACCGTACTGGGAGGACTCTGGAACCAGGAATCACATCAATACTCACTTTATTGTGCAAGTTCCATCCTTGGTTTTCCTCCAGCGAGATGAAGCAACTACTCTGGTGTGAGGTACAGGTTTAATCTGTGCAAAAACAATCATGATGAAATATCCTATTTTTTTAGGTTCATTAAATGCATCAAGACAAAACACTACAATTTATTTTTATGTAAACACAACAACTAGCTTTTTTTCTCATCTTTGTGCAGGTTTAATGTAAATGAGTTGATTTTAGGAACAGAATTTAAAACTACTATCTCTGTCAAACCTCATTGTTACATTAAAACCAGTCTGTGCCTCATTTCTTCACATGTCCACCACCAAACTGTCCAAGTGCTAAGTAACATAAGGCACTAAAAATATTTAAACTTATTTGTCCACATGCATTTATTCAACATTTAATTTGATTGTAATACTTCAAAATATGGCAGAGGCTTTATGAAAACTGTTTTACATGGTGATAGAGAATGATCATTCAACTGAACGAAAGTGTAAAATTTGTTCTTACCATAGTATTTTTCTTTTTCTGCTGGTTTATGGTGGCTATTCCACAGTAACTGGGGAAAAAATACAAATATTGTGACTGAAACCAGGCATCCAACATGGAATTACATTAATGGTTAATGTAATTTGCTATTAAATCACTTTTAAAAATAGCTAATAATAATAATGCTAAACATTACTTTCTGGAGTTGTGTATTCTGAACTGCAGGTGTGTGAATTAATCTTTTTAAAAAAAAACAACTAGGAGATTTCTGAGTCTGAAAAGTCAAAATCTGATTTTTTTTTATTTTATTAATCTCAGAAATCTTATGGAGTTTGAAAAATTTAAAAATTGCCAGAAAAACAATAACATTTTGAAATCAATCTCTGAAATTTTCTTGTTTTTTTTGTTTGTTTGTTTTTGTTGTTTTGGTTTTTTTAATTTCTGAGTTAGAAAAGGAGAAAACTTGGTAGAAAAAAAAAACATGGACATTTCTGAGTTTGATTTCTGAGTTTTTGATTAAAAAAAAAACATTTGGAGGGAATTTGCTCCTTTTTTAATCTAAAAAGCTAAAAGTAACTAGTTACTATTATACAATCACTCTAATTGAATCCCACTTTACTTACTTCAGGACCTTGAAGGGTTCATTCCCCGCTGCAACATAGGAGCCCCCATGCTTCAGCTGAGCCAGCTCCTGCACACTGTGGCCCTCCGTGGGTGTGTACAGCCTCCTGACGGCGCCGAACGGAGCCTCCATGTGTCTGGTTAAAGTGTTCATAAAGTTGTCGAAAGTTGACAGATGCCGGGGATTCAGCACTACTTTTTTCCCGGGATAGAAAGCGTCTCCATTCCGGTAGACGGTGACGGTTTTGGCCGGAGGAAGAACCGCAGTTATCCGTGGGTTCACCGCCATGTTTACCTGCAGGCGGTCCAGTCTGGTCTAAGTGGATCCGGGATGCCGTGAGCCACTGGAGCCGTAACTGGATCTATGAGCTGGTAATATGGGGAACAATTCAACCACAGGGGAGGGGCGTCATCTTGAAACTTATCCTCCGTCTGTTTTCTTGTTGTGGGCTTCCTCTTGATCGTTGCCAGTTAACCTGCGTCCTCTAGAGAACAAAAGCTGTTTCCATGGCAACAATAGTCAGCGTTTTTGTATGTTTTGATGCAGTAGCAGTCAGGCTTACAACGAAGCTGAAAAGGCCTCTGACTAAAAAAAAGATACCCATACAATATAAAGACATACAAAACATAAAAATAAAGTATGTTTTAAACTTTTTGTCATCAAAACTGGATTCTCAATTTAGATTTGGATTATTTAATGAAAAATGTGCCTATATTTTAATTTACTTTTTCTCTCGTTATATGTTACAAAACTGGACCATATTCCTTGTTTGCATTTGACTTGTGAAGCACTTTGTGCAGTTTGAGCTGCTGAAAATGTGCTATAAAAATACATTTAACATTAACATTGACCACAGAAAGAGTAAAATGATTGTAAACGGCTGTCCTGCATATTTTTCCATCAAAAATAGCCACAGCTGAACCAGATAAAGTCAAGAAATGTTTAAGTATTGATGAGTTTGGACATGAATAAGTATTTGCTTTTTACTGTCACAAGAGGAGGAAATTCAAACCATCTCTTCCATCAGTCATAATGAGAAAGAATTATATCTAAAATCTCTCTAAAAACCGGCTTTCTAGCCAAACTATCAGAGATTTAAAGAAAAGTTGCAAAAGCAAATAAGGTGGATTAGCAGTGCTTGTAAAAACAAAAAAAAACTGATGCTGAATCCTCAATAAAATGTATTTAATATTTCATTTTTTAAAATAAAAATCACATAACCACTTAACTTTTTTTTACATTTTTGCTTCACACTGTCTCTCACTTCTGTTTGTGCCACTAAGTTTTCCATTGTTTACTCTTCCACAGTTTCACCAACCCTCCAAACAGTTTATTCTCATTTCTGCAAAGGTAACCAGAGATTGAACCAACCATGACACTTAATTGGTTTATGCTAGACAACTCCTGGTCATGTGGCTGCATAATTCATCTCAGCATTAATTATTCATTTCTTAAGGGACTGCTGGTGTGTTTTATTTGAAGACGTGCATCATGCATATTCAAACTCCTTTTCCTAGAGAGCCACAAATTAGGATATCATCTCAGCTGGGATGCATATCTTAAAAACAATACCTGGCAGGTTGTGGAAGGCAACTTGAGGTAAAACGCAAAGCGAAAAAACAAATCTAAAGTAAGATTGTTTTTCAGGACAGAGTCTACAGAAACATCTGTTTGGAAAACAAACTGGAGCCCCCTACAGGTCAGAGGGGGAATTACCTCCCAGTGTGGCAGATGACTGATCTTCGATCCTGTGGGATTTCCAGACGAATAAAATTGTAACAACCAACTGAGTCTGAGATGAAGAGCAGCCCACTCCTCCCAGACAAACAGTGTTCAAGTTTTTGTCAAATTTATACTGGAAATGTTTTCAAGTAGCCAAATTGTTCTGTTTCGTAAACCAGGGAAAATGTTGACTTCTCTCAGCCAGACTACAAACTACAACGTACGGCAACATGTGGGGGAGGGGGCAGTGGAGGCTCCAGCAGGTAGGAACAGTACGACATAAAACAAATTCAGTTTTCAGACAGTAATTTTTAAAACCTTTAGAAATAGTTATGATTGTCTTTAGTCCTGCACTGTGCAAATATCTTTGTACACTTGAAATAAAACAAAACTAACTAAATATAGCTCCTATATTTTGCTGAAAACTAATTTGTCTTGTTTCAAGATAAAACACTTGGTAAAATGTTCTGTTTTTGCAGTGTACCAGTGCAGCACCTTGACCAACTTGTCCTTTGAGATGATTTTGATTTGATTTGAGAACTGAATATGGGGATTATTATCGATTTTGTGTGTGTGCACTGATGTTGTTTCAGTAAACATTTTGCCTTCAAAAATGTTAAAGAAGTGAAATTATTTTCTGTCAAAAGTAACTCTGCAGGTTTTCTCCTCTCCTTCAGTCTCAGGGTTTTTCTCAGCTGCAGCATTGCTGCATTGAATAAAACCAGCCAGCTCAGCAGTAGGAAATAATGTCCTCTTTCTTGTGTATCCATCACTGTTTATTGTATAAAACCTGCACATTTCTTATTGTGTAAAACGCAGAAAGCATGCTGCATTCTATTTGTTTGATTAAAAGCACTCAAGCAGAAACTGCATGTGTTTTTTAATTGGATATTTTTCCACACAATCTATAGCCCACTGCTTATTTGTCCTGTTTGTCAATGAGACTCTTACAGGATATTTGCATACCATAAAAGCTCAATATGCAGATGGAAGAGAAACAGAATATGGTAGTCCAGATATGATTTGAATGAGAAGAATTTATAACAAACTCAGGATCCTGGAAGCACAGAAGTAAATAGCTTATTAGATCCACAATCAAACAGAACATCCTCTTGTTTGTACATGTTGCAAGTCGTTTCCTTAATGTTTACATGAAGACTGATCTCAGTGCATTGAGTCGCGTGTACAGCTGCAACGAACGATTATTCTAGTGATCAATTATTCTACCAGTGATTCTGACAATGATTAAAAATGGTACTTTCTGCAGATTTTTCACTTAAGCTTTTTTTCATAAATACATAAAATATTTAAATAAATAATTCAAATTTTAAGCAAGAAAATAAACATTTTATTGCCTAAAATCTAAACAACCTAATCATTCGTAGCAAAGGATGCGTCTGCAGCTGCACTGCAGAAACACAAAATCTTACCAAAAATCTTTGACTAGTTTCTGGTGCTAATATCTTAGTACATTTGAAATGAGGCAAAACAAACAAACAAACAAACAAACAATTTTTCAGTAAAATATAGGAGCTTGTTTTAAGTCAATAATTTATGAGATTTGATAAAAACATCTAGTTTCATTACCAGATATTTTTATTATAAGTGAAAAAATAGAACTAGTACTTTTTATCAATATTCAAGAATTACTGACCTAAAAAACACTCATATCTTGCTAAAAAGTTATTTTATGTCATTTTGCAACTAAGGTACTTTCACTAAAAACTGGACTCAAATACTTGGTAAGATTTTGTGTTTTTGCACTGTAAAAAATACATCTAATGTCAACATGTGAAAAGCCAAGACCTTTCTTCTTGACTTAACATCAAAACGGTGTAAGGTTTATTTATTTTTGGATGAACCAATTAATAATTATGTAGGAAAATGTTCTTTATAGGAGGTAGGTTTTTTTTTTTTTTTTTTAAACTGAAGATTTTTGAATCAGGTGAAGTTAGAAGTTCTGACTGGATAGAATAGATTTATACACAAATGCATATTTTGTATCTTAAATGCAAAATTTATATATATATATATATTTTTTTTTTTTTAGTTTTGGCTTAATTACATCTTTGAGTAAGTTTTTCTTTTAGCAAACCTTTTTAAAATCTGTGCACTCCAGTAAATGATTAATCAATTTCTAAATTAGATGAAGATTATTTCAACCATCGATTAATCATGACTATTCATGACCAGTTAATCATTCCAGCCCAAGTTGTGTGGTTTTATCCCCGTTCTCACACAGAGTCTTTGTTAAATTCACAGATGAAGAACATGGTGGGGTGGCAGGCCACGTCGGTCCACTCCCCGGACGCCACCATCTCCGTGCAGTCCTCGTCGTCGTAGGCGTTGTTGGGCTCCCCTTGCCTCCACCTGCTGAAGGTGCTCATCGGGGAGCGGTCCACGTAGGTGAAAAGCCCTTCCTGGTCCAGGTCGTGAACGCCGATGTAGACTCTGCTCAGGCCCGCCTCCGTTATGTAGCTGGCAATGGCCGCATTGGCTCCGTCGTCCTTCGGCATGGCCAGGTGCCCCCCCCTCGCCTGGCAGAAAGCCTCGGCATCGGCGTAGCGCTTCTCCTCCTTCACCAACAGATAGACCTTACTGTCTGTCTCTTTTATGCCTGCAACAGCTGCAGGGGAGGGCAGTGCTGTGAAATGACCACTTGATTTTCTATAAATTTCTTATTGACTTGCACACCAATTACATTTGGATGAACAGTTATTGCATAATAATGATTCTTTTAAGAGAAAGTTTTGCTGAATGTTAGTGTAGAATGTTTAGAGTATACCATTTTTAATAAAGTTCAGTTCTGAGGACAGCTGGGCCACGACGATGTCCATTTCTCCAATCATCTTCCTCATCGATGCGCACTCACATGGAACACCTGGTGAGGTGTGATGGATTACCACTCTGCCACTTTACAAGTTTTGAATTTATTAAACTGAATAAAGTAGCTTTATGTCTAACCTGGCTCTCCTTTAGGGCCAGTTGGTCCTGGGTCGCCCATGTCACCTTTAACCCCTGAGGAAAAAAGGAGAATTCATTCAAAACTAATATTTTCTTGAAAGTTTATTGCCAGACATACTTTTTGTTTTTTGTCAGTAAATGTCATATTCATTTCAGATGTTCGGTGATGCAGTTAAAGCTTTGATTCCATTGGTGAAATAATAAAACAAAAACGATGGTGGACCTGGCGAGGGTCTGAAGGATTCATGCATTTTTGCCATTTGTGTGTTTGGTTGCTCTCCCCATCTAGAAGAGAATCCACTGTATAACTAATTTTAAAAACAAACAAAACAAAAATTCTTACACTTACAAATATACTTAGAAATCTTATTGTACACTTGTTGATCTTATTTTAAGTATACAAAGAGATATTTGCACGTTTTGTGAATCTTTTTAGACTAATTCACTGTCCACTTAGAAGGTGTTAACCAAAAACAGTCGGCATCTTCTTCAAATGACAACATCTCAAGGCATCAAAGTGATATTCAGGAAAGACATGGGATCGTTAGGAAGCCTGCAGACGAGCCCATGTAGGTGGGAAATGGTTCCCAGATGGGACTGCTGGTCGGGCAGTGGGAGGAAGAAATGAAGATGGATTACTGTGTCCAGATTCCTCAAGTTTCACAAAACAAGACAACTGAAACTTGGACACAGTTAGGTACTCCACAGCAAAATAAACCCAGACTGGTTTTAGAAGAGCTAACGGCGCTAACGTTAGCATTCAGGATGACCACAATCTAAACCATATTAAAGCAGCTAAGCTAAAAAAACAGCTGC